CTTTCAGCATTTCCCCCCTTTTTTCCTGCCAGAAAGAAGAGAAAGGCATAGGGGGGGCACACAGGGAAATTGTCAGTGAATTAATAATATCAGTCTTTTAAGAAAAGTGGCTAACCTTTGAGCTATGCTGGGCTACAGGAGAAAGGCCAAAGGAGAGATTAGCAAAGTTTCAAAAGAGCCAGACACTCCTGGGAAATGTATGGGATTGTGAAAATGACACAACGACAAATACATCCTTCTGTGTTTGGAAATTATATCTACATCACAGGAGTTTCCTGTTAAATGTTGAGGGGTGTTAAAAATAAATAAACTTTTCACATTGGCGTCCCCTTGTGATAAGCAGCTTATAGTGATCGATCAGTAATCATACTTAAAGTTATGATTCAGAACTACGATGATGGAAGATGCTTTCTGGTTGCTGTGGGACACCTAACTCTGTACATCATCCGTGGTCCTCACACATCCTTCTTACAGAAGTCTGATTGCCAAATAATCATTCATTTCTTTTAAAAACAATATACAAGGACAGCATCTAAAAGTCACTTGCTGAACATAACTGGCTACTTAATCAACATAGAACTTTGTGATAGGTTCAGCAGTCCATCGTGATCAATCAGCAATCATGTTCTGATTGATCTAAGTTGGCTGAAAATGCGATCTGGGTGCTGTGGGGATACTAAATTTTGTACATCACCATAGCCCATCGTAATCAATCAGCAATCATGTTCCTATTGATATAAGCTGATATAAGATAGTTACTACGGGAAACTAGACTGTGTACATCATTTGTACTCCCCACACCTCTTTGTTACATAAGTCTGATTAGCAGATAAGCATTTCATTCTAAACAGAAAGAAAACTTTACACAATGACACCACTTAAAAGTTGCCAGCCTGACATAACAGGTTTCTTGTTTAACAAAGAGTTTCCTGGTAAGTTCAGCTGCCTACAGTGATCAATCAGCAATCTAAAGTTCGGATAGATCTAAGCTGGTGGAAGATGCTATTTAGTTGTTATGGGATACTAAACTTTGTACATCGTGCGTTGTCCTCATACATCCTTATAGGTCTGAATGATAAAAAAGCATTCAGTTCTAAAATAAATATGTACATAAACTTTACACATTGACACCAGCTGGACATAGCAGGTCTGTGATAAGTTTAGCAGCCTATATTGATCAATCAGAAATCATACTTAATGTATGGATTGATCTAAACTGGTGGAGGATGCTATCTGGTTGCTATGGGATACTAAACTTTGTACATCGTGCGTGGTCCTCACACACATTCCTATTACATAGGTCTGAATGATAAAAAGCATTCAACTCTAAAATAAATAAGTTTAACAACTTCACTCATTGACACCAGCTGGACATAACAGGTCTGTGATAAGCTAAGCAGCCTATATTGACTAATCAGCAATATTAGGATTGATCTAACTAGTGGAAGATGTTATCTGGTTGCTATGGGATAATAAACATCGATGCGAGGTCCTCACTCATCCTTGTTAGATAAGTATCCTTGCCAAATATATTTTATTTTCACCTTAGTATCCTTCACCAATTTTCTGCTTTATCCCCACAAGTTGCAAAGTTTCTGATCGCTCACATCCATTGCAGAATTACTATAAGAGGACCGTGCAGCCTGGACACCCCAATTGATGTAAAAGCATCAATCAAGGATTGTATATAGGAATGTCACTGGATGCTTTCACATCCATCCAGTGCCCTATGATGACAGGTTTCCCCCCAAATGGTTGAATGTCTCGCTTTAAGTATCATTGTGCAAGGAGTATTAAACTGGTGGATTACTATAGGTCCACATTCAATGCAGGGATGGGAGGAAAAATTTAAAAGCACTGTATTGTCCAGACAGCAGCAGGAAGTTTCTTGTTGAGAAATGAGGGGCTGGTACAAAAGGGAAAGGAAAGTCTTGAAAGGATTTAATTAACCGTGTCAGGCATAATTACCCCTGGACAGCCAAATTAGTTTTGCATAATCGCTCCCAAGCAGATGACTATTGCAAGGACGATAGATTTAAGCGGATCGTTTTAATTATGGCAACACAAGATCTGTGCATGCCATGATACCACAATCTACAATTACTTTCAAATCCATCTTTTTCACACCGCCAACCTGGCATTTTGCAGTATCATTTTTTTGTTACTGTCCCTTTCACATTTTGATAATATTTTTAATAAAACACTTTATATGTGTAAAACTCTACAGCTCAAAATAAGATGTCCCTAACATTACCCTCCACTTAATGCTTTGCAATCAAACAGTCTAAAGTATACTAAGGGATAACTAGACCAGAATATCCAATTGTTATCATCAAGTATTTTAATATAATAAATTCCTGATTGCTACAAACTATTTGCCCCAACAATTCACATGATCATTGTACAAGTGCTCTATCAGCTGCCTTTTTGCATGTCGATCGTGTATTGAAGGACACGATCCATCTGCATTGTGCTGTATCCCCGCAGATCGAGGCCCCTTTGAAGAAATGACAAGGATTTTATTGGGAAGCTCTTCTAACAAGATAAAGTACCCAAGCAACTTTCCCCTCTTAATGTTACTGGACACCTTCACAATGGTCTCAGCGTTCTCAATGGGCTCTGTTCTGCTCAATCATGAATGCCTCTTTTTTTTTTTTTCAGGAAAAGATAATACAACGACTTGTTTTTTTATCTTCTTTCCTATTCACGATTAAAAATGTGATAAATCAGGTTTTTGGCCCTGGATAACAATGGCTTGATTTAGATTTCCTGTTAAATCCATTCAACAAGGAAACAAAGGCAGCCTTTGGGGGATAAGTTACACTTCACCTGGACCAAGCACGTAAGGGCAATTCAGATAAAAATCTTGTTAGTATACTCAACAAGAAATAGAAGATTTTTTTTCTTTCTTTTTAGCTATAATGGGCTTTATTTCAGGTCTTTGTTCAGGGCTGAACAGAGGACTAAGGATCTTTTAGTCATCTAATATTTTTTTAAACCAGTGCCTGATACAGACAAAACAACACATCAAAATTGAATTGTTAAAACCATGTTTTTTTTTCTTTTATCTTTACGTTTGTAGTACAGAAAGCCAAAATAAAAACTAAAAATTACATGTTAGCCAGCTTCATTCACAAATATTAGTCAAAATGTACACATTACAAAAAAAATGACCCAAAAACTCAACAGTGATTGGATTGGACGCAGTTTGATGCGTTAAATGTAGACCATTTAAAGGAAGAAAAAAAAGAAGTTCTGATGATAGTTGGGATCATTTTAGGAGGGAATGGAGCAAATTATTCCTTGCAAACAGTTAATATTTTCCGAAACAATAAATATACATTTAACAGCTACAATAGTTGAAAGGAATTATTTTTGATCATCGTCACAATTGTTTCTTTCTGTGGATGGACTGGGGGTAATAAGTGAGCAGCACATTTTCACTGCCATCTTCAATGTACACAGTTACAATCACACAGACCCTGGACCCTGGACACTGCTTTGCCTTCCAGTGTGACAGGTTGTGATGTGCGTGGAGGTGTTCAGCCCAAAGTAACTATATTTCCTGAATGCTATGGAAAGATCAGCTCATGATTACTAGTAGGGTGCAGATAGTTCACCTGGGCATCCTCCACCACCATGGAGACGAGTATTGGAAGGATTTCAGGACCACAAAGTACACTTGTGTCTAAGTGTCCAGCTTTAGTGCATGCGGAATACAGAAGGTTCGGTACATCCATGTCCTATAATGTATCCACCTTACAAGTGCAGAAAGAAACACATTTCTGAAATGTTCCTTGTTTGACCTTCTTCTGGCCACCGGTTCAGTAGAAGAGGGACTTGCACAGCGTCTGGGGGTGCCTACAAGTTCCTCCACACTGAGGGACCTTGATATGCTCAGTGTTCTCAACACAACATAACCTGTGCAACGGACAGCAGTGGCATCACAACTAAATATTACATATTTCCATACTTTAAATGTATTTCACAGCATGATATGACAAAATGTGACAAGGGGCATCCTGCCCTAGGGCTGGGACCCTGTGTCCAGTATGAAGTTACAGCCGGGTGCTGCGTTGACAAAGCCCTTGTGAGGGCCGCCATGGTGTCATAAAGCGGCAGCATAGGCTGTGGCAGAGTAAGGGTCCAACTGGGGTTTGCCCATGCCTGGGAATAGGATGTAGGCTAGGGGTGGTTGCAGTCCATGACTGGGCCAGGCTGTGCAGTTACATGGGATCATATAGCCTGGATTCCCAGGGGATGGATGGGAGTGAGTGTGCCCCCCGCTGGCAGCTGCCGCCGCTGCTGCAGCCGCTGCCATCCCGGAGAAAGCACCTCCACTGGACTGGTGGTATCCCAGAGAGGAGGCGTAGGGATGTGTAGAAGAGCTGGATGTGATCTCTGCCATCTTGGAGCTTAGATCAAACAGGGAATAGTGACTGGAGGCGCTACCGGCTGCCGCAGCTGCCGCCGCCGCTGCCGCCGCAGAGGGGGGGAAGAAGACCCTGGCTGCTGCTGCGGCCGCTGCGGCTGCTGCTTTCTCCGGATTGGCTAGTAGGGAGTCAGTGAGCATCCCAGCCCCATGCAGAGTAGCGGCCTTTAGCCCCTCATGTTCTCCGGCCAGGCTGTAGTGCATGGGGAAAGCGAACTTGTCCTTCTTCAGCAGGGTCTTGGGCTTCCTGCGGGGCCGGTATTTGTAGTCCGGGTGCTCCTTCATGTGCATAGCCCGTAGTCTCTTGGCTTCGTCTATGAACGGTCTCTTTTCCGACTCTGTCAGCAACTTCCACTCGGCCCCCAGGCGCTTGCTGATCTCCGAGTTGTGCATCTTGGGGTTCTCCTGGGCCATCTTCCTCCTCTGGGCTCTGGACCACACCATGAAGGCGTTCATTGGTCTCTTTACGTGGTCCACCGGCTTAGACATCTCCAGCTGTCTGCACTCCAGGAAGTCCGAGAAGGGCGCTCTCCAAACTGGGCTCAGTGGAGGCTCAGCGTGGCATTCCTTGGGATGTTCCAGGGGGAGCTAAAACAAGGACAGGTAAACCTGTCCAGGAGGAGATGAATGAGAACAGGTAGACTTGCCCAGGGGGAGATGAACGAGAACAGGTAGACTTGTCCAGAGGGAGATGATTGAGAACAGGTAGACTTGTCCAGGGGGAGATCAATGAGAACCGGCAGACTTGTCCAGGGGGAGCACAGTATAAACAGGTAGACTTGTCCAAGAGGAGCTCAGTGAAAATATGTAGACTTGTCCAGAGGGAGCTCAGGTAGACTTGTCCAGGGGGAGATCAATGAGAACCGGCAGACTTGTCCAGGGGGAGCACAGTATAAACAGGTAGACTTGTCCAAGAGGAGCTCAGTGAAAATATGTAGACTTGTCCAGAGGGAGCTCAGGTAGACTTGTCCAGGGGGAGCCCAGGGAGATCAGGTAGACTTGTCCAGGGAGAGCTCAGGTAGACCAGGTAGACTTGTCCAGGGGGAGCTCAGGGGGATCAGGTAGACTTGTCCAGGGGGAGCTCAGGGGAATCAGGTAGACTTGTCCAGGGGGAGCTCAGGGGGATCAGGTAGACTTGTCCAGGGGGAGCTCAGGGGGATCAGGTAGACTTGTCCAGGGGGAGCTCAGGGGGATCAGGTAGACTTGTCCAGGGGGAGCTCAGGGGGATCAGGTAGACTTGTCCAGGGGGAGCTCAGGGGGATCAGGTAGACTTGTCCAGGGGGAGCTCAGGGGGATCAGGTAGACTTGTCCAGGGGGAGCTCAGGGGGATCAGGTAGACTTGTCCAGGGGGAGCTCAGGGGGATCAGGTAGACTTGTCCAGGGGGAGCTCAGGGGGATCAGGTAGACTTGTCCAGGGGGAGCTCAGGGGGATCAGGTAGACTTGTCCAGGGGGAGCTCAGGGGGATCAGGTAGACTTGTCCAGGGGGAGCTCAGGGGGATCAGGTAGACTTGTCCAGGGGGAGCTCAGGGGGATCAGGTAGACTTGTCCAGGGGGAGCTCAGGGGGATCAGGTAGACTTGTCCAGGGGGAGCTCAGGGGGATCAGGTAGACTTGTCCAGGGGGAGCTCAGGGGGATCAGGTAGACTTGTCCAGGGGGAGCTCAGGGGGATCAGGTAGACTTGTCCAGGGGGAGCTCAGGGGGATCAGGTAGACTTGTCCAGGGGGAGCTCAGGGGGATCAGGTAGACTTGTCCAGGGGGAGCTCAGGGGGATCAGGTAGACTTGTCCAGGGGGAGCTCAGGGGGATCAGGTAGACTTGTCCAGGGGGAGCTCAGGGGGATCAGGTAGACTTGTCCAGGGGGAGCTCAGGGGGATCAGGTAGACTTGTCCAGGGGGAGCTCAGGGGGATCAGGTAGACTTGTCCAGGGGGAGCTCAGGGGGATCAGGTAGACTTGTCTTGCATGGGAACAGGTAGACTTGTCCAGGAGGAGCTCAGTGAGAACAAGCAGGCTGGATTCAATGGTTAGCTGGGTTCGGTGGAGCTCAGCAGGATGGTCCAGGGAGAGTTCAGTGGGGTGTTCCAAGGGTCGATCAGTGGAATGCTCCAGAGGGATCTCAGTGTAACAGGTAGTCTGTCTGCAATGACCTGCTGGGTAGGGCTGCTCCAGGAGAAGCTCGGTGGGAACCGGCAGGGTGGCTGCAATCACTTGCTGTGCACTGGGAAAGTTAGCAGTGTCCCACATGAGCAGCACTGACAGTCTGCTGAAGAGGTCTCACTGACTGAATGACACTGGCTGCTGGGTTGTGCTCTGCTCCCTCCTGCACACTCAGCAGCAGTCAATCACACACAGGCGGGACAACAAGTGAAATCAATCCCCGGAGCCCAGTCGCTTAGATGCCGTGTATAGACATTCCGATGTCACTGTCCAGCACTGGTCCGGGACCTCCAGCACCCTGTCCTGGCTGAGGAAGACTCCGCACACAGGACATGCTCGACCTCCACGCCGAAGTGATAGTGTGGGAATGGGATCAGATCTCACCGCCAGGTGCACGGCTTAGCAGTTGGCCAAGTTTCTGGCTTCTGTCCTCTCTCTGTGACTGAAGGAAAGCGAGGAAGGGATCATTTTTTTTTTTGGTAACTGAATCTGGGCGGGGGGAGCAAGGTGGGTGTGTGACTGGAGATGTAGGTAGGAGGGGCTGCCAGGACGACTTCTTCACTGCTTGCAGTGTGTTCTAGGCTAAGTCTTGATGGGTGACCCCCGCACCTGGTGACTTCTCATCCGCAGCGCCTGGTGCGGTCAGCGCTGGGCTGCGGAGAGGTCACGTGATGGCCAGGCTCTCATCACTTGATCGTGCGGAAACTTTCATAGAAGGATACAAGTGATCTATAGAGGGTCAGATCAGAGCAAAGTGCAGCAATACCTATTATAGTAAAGAAAGAATACAGATATGTATTTTATTCTTTTACGAAGCACACAATTACGATGTTCAGAAAATCTCCCATTATGTAAGAGTGAAGCATTTGCAGAACTGCTTACAAATCCAGCTCTGATCTGACAGTAAATATTCACATGCAAAGATCCTTTTATAAACTTGTCTGGGCAACACTTTGTCTGTGACGCCCCAAAGGGAGCTCATCATTCAGAATAGGCATAGATGTGATGTGAACGTGCTATTGGTAAGATGATGATCGCTTTATAAACCTGTGTATTGCCACTTGTCTCTTTGTATGAGGTATAAACACCAGATCGCCTGCATGCTGGGTGTAGCTGAATGGAATGTCACTGTGAAAATGTTTCTTTGTAACTAGATGGTACACAACTGAAACAACTTTATTTCTACGTGAGAATGTTTTTTTGTCTTTAGTGCATGTTTACATTTCCCTGTGATGCTTATCTTGCCGGCTATTAGTACCTACACATTGTTCTCATGCTGTATGTTCAAGCCATGAAAGCGCAAACCATGTCACAAGTGTTTAAGTAACAAATTGACTTGACAGTCAGGACAGACTAGCTCGCCCTGTTTGTTGCTTGTCACTTTGAAGGTGGCGTGCTAGTGTGGTATGTGCACTAACCCCTTCACTGCCAAAATGCTGCCTTTCAGGGACACACAAGGCATGGGAGATATTCCATGCCGACAGCAGTCATCTGATAAAAAGCAGATTATTTCAATAGGGACTGAATATTTGTTTTCCTTGTATACCACCCTTCTACAAAAAGCATGATGACATATGAAGAAGTCACTAATATTACTGTAAAATCCACACTCTTCTTCTGTTCTATAGATCTGTGAATGCTTCATACTAGGGGTATAATCTTGTTCTGCTCTATAGATCTGTGAATACTTCATATTAGGGGTACAATCTTGTTCTGTTCTATAGATCTGTGAATACTTCATGTTAGGGGTACAATCTTGTTCTGCTCTATAGATCTGTGAATACTTCATATTAGGGGTACAATCTTGTTCTGTTCTATAGATCTGTGAATACTTCAAATTAGGGGTACAATCCCGTTCTGTTCTATAGATCTGTGAATGCTTCATATTAGGGGTACAATCTTGTTCTGTTCTATAGATCTGTGAATGCTTCATACTAGGGGTACAATCTTGTTCTGTTCTATAGATCTGTGAATGCTTCATACTAGGGGTACAATCTTGTTCTGTTCTATAGATCTGTGAATGCTTCACCCTCCAGAAGGAAGGACAGTGTCAGCGCCAATTTAGAGATGATTTGATGATCTACAGCTGAGTGATACACAAATAAGATACATTTTTGTTAATAGTTGAGGTACTTGAATGTATTTTTAAGATGTAACTCTTGAGTTTAGTGTCACTTCAATGCTAATAATCTGCAAGAAAGCAGTTTTAGTTGTCGCCAGCCATTTGGGTACAGCCCAGCTTATGACCCCCTCAGATATTACTAATCACTAACATTGTCACACTAATCCTTTTCCCCATCCTAATATTAACACATATCTGAAATACATTGTTAACACTTATTTTATCACCTACAAGCGAGAATTAGGTGTTAACCCTGAAAAATAATCGAAACACCTAACTTATCCAAAGTGTAATTCCACTTTTGCAGCCAAATGGATAGCACCTACTTTCCAGTATATTTGTTACATGCTCTCATTCGCATACTATAACAATAAAAAGATATTTAAAAATGCTGCTTACCTTTAAGAATTCTTTTTCTGAAAACTCCAGTACCAAAAAAAATCCTTCTTAGTTTCCACTTGCTAGGCAATGTCTGTGAGGGGGCTGGGGAGCTGTGTTTGCCATAAATAACCCCGTGTGTAGTGTGCTGGGAGATCTCATTATTATTTGTTAACTAGATGTGCAGGACTGTCGGTTCTAACAAAGGGTTAAATATCCCAAGACATTATATTTTAATATACTGCCTCTCAGTCTTGTCCCTCCAGTCTGTCTCTTAGCTGCACTTTGCCATATATATGTATATATATATAAGCAGTCTAAGCTGTACATAGAGTCCTATAATCTGCTCCAAAGAAACCACTTAGGCCCCATTCACACCAGGGCATTTAGTTGCACATTTTTTCCCCATGTATTCCTATTGGGGCTGTTCACACAAACATCACGCGTCAAAATACACCTGGTGTTTGAAATAGTCCCTGAGTTTATTTTGTGGCACTTATTAGCTAATTTTGCTCCATAGACTTCAATGTAAACACGCAATTAGCGTTTTTTTTGGCTGAAACCGCTTTTCATTGGACGACTGTAAAACGAGCTGAATGCACGGCTTAAAACAATACTGCTTATGAACAGAAAACGCCTGTAAAACGCGCTGAAACGCACATAAAACACTTGCAAAAGCATGCTAAAAACCACGAGTAACGTGTGCTGAAACTCTGTCGCTCTGGTGTGAATGGGGTCTAAAAAGATAATAAAATATTTAAAAAAATATTTTTAGGTTTGCTGTGTGAATGGGAACACATAAGAAACATACAGTGGTGTTTTTTCTAATTTGACTGCAAAGGTGGAAATACATTTTGAAGTAGTTGTATATGCTAACTGAATGACAATGCTATCATTGGCATTTTTTTATCAA